AGACTGAGCACAGTACTTTAAATTCAACTTTACAAGGAAATGATAACCTCATTATTTATATTCAGTAATCCTATAAAGTATAAGTACAACAATGGAAGTCTTGAGAAACTGATTGACCAAACACCAAGATACTTATCCTCTTTAACATTATTAGGCTGATTTGTAACAAAGTGCTAGTTATAGTTTAAATTAAGGTAGCTCACATGCATTACCTTACTTGCATAATTAAATGTCAACCACTTAGCCAAGTAATACAAATCCCTTTGTAAATCAACAAAATCCTTCTCATAGCCAGCTGTACTGAAACTAATATCAGTTCAGAGTTGGGTGATTAGTGGTATTTGCCAGTTGAATGATCATCAGCCCAATTAATTGATTATGTTTGACTAATGACACATTGTTCTTCAAACCAAGGTAAATACAAGCAAAAAAAAAAAAAGCAATGGATGCTGCTAGCCAGTTGCTTTCCCTCTAGTCAACAGCTCAAAATCTGTGATAGTGGCAGATATTTGCCATAACAAAGACTGGGTAAGCAAGATTGGTGGCAGTGGGAATCAAACCCCATTTTTTTAATCACAAGCTTCCCCTCCCCCCAAATCACCAGAGCTGAATAAACTTGAAATATAAAAATAACTACTACTCATGAGGCTAAAATTGGGCAGAGCACAGGTAGTCCATTATTTAGCTTTGTGCTTAATAACAAACATAATAACAGTATATTGATTACTTTTATAGTGGGAATAATAAAAAATAGTAATATGTAAACTTAAATTTCACTTAGTTAACTATTTTCACAAAAGTCAATTTAATTGTAATTTCAATTAATTGATTGTTGGAATAATTGAAAACAGTGATAATCAGAAACAATTGATTATTTTGTATGACACTAATTGATGTAATTACTGGTCATAAATAATCGATTGAATTGCCCAGCTTTGACATTAGCACACTTGATCAGTTTGTTGACCATTTCTTTATAAACATTGTTAATATATACTAAAAAAGTGAGGGCCACAGCACAGAGCCTTGAGATACCACACTTGCAGCTTCAATCTAGTTTGACTGAACTCCAATAATTACAACCCTTTGATTCCTCTTCTCCAACTCACCTTTTCCCTCATCAACATAAGCAGTGACATCTTCGAAAAAGGTCAAAAGATTTGTTAGACAAGATTTTCAATTTTTACCTGTATGAAACCATGTTGGCAGTCCAACATATTTGTAAATTTTTTCGAGTGGTTTTGCAAAGTATTTTTAATCAGCCTCACCAAAACTTTTATTACTACACAAGTGAAACCAATTGGTCTATAATTACCTGAACACTGCTTGTCACCTCCATTACCCAAAGACCCATTTAAAATTTTAGTAAGGGGCTTACTTACATGATCCTTAACTTCTTTTAATACCCTTTGCTCTATGATATTTCTTACTGCAGTGTTATGTTAAATTTTAATTGAGCTGGATCTTAGGCTAAGCACCATTAACTAGATAAGGATCATGATCTGACAAGTTATTTATTGTCACTGCTATATAAGCCAGTGCTTAATTACACTGAGATTTTGCTTTACATTTAAATATATAATACACCTATACTAAAGTCATAGTTTAACAATAACATGTTAAATTGCTTGGAATTTTTTGTTGGACAATATTCAAATCTTTAATCAATTGAATGTAAGAATATGTGTTAGTTTTGGCCAAGTGCATGTATAATGACAAGGTGTTTGAATGGAATGCTGCATACAAACTGTGGCATGTATATAAAAAAAAGATGCAACTGACTGTAATATACAGAGAGGAGCAAAAGTTACTATACAGTTATTACTGAAGAAAATATTATTAAGACAGTTGAAACCAATTTGATTATTTTGTTTCAGAATGACAGTTATACATTAAACTGTGTTCTAAATGAAATGACTGTATAGTCACTTTTGCATTACCTTTTATTATTACAGCAAGGAAGATTAAAATAAATGTTATGTGATTAAAGAGCTTAAATACAGAAAAAAATAC